GCTGCTGTTACCCCATGGAACTCACTGGTTTTCATGCTTTGCAGGTCCATGTTGGCAATGATGAGTTTGTGCACCTGCGGGTGTTCAGAAGCCTTCCTCACGAGAATAAGCCGCTGAGTCTCCACAGTTACCAGAGCAGCAAGACGAAGCATGACGAACTGGCTTTTTTCTAGCAAGCTTATCTTGTGCATTTTCCTAATGGTTTCTTATGTGCATTTTCCGTAGGCTGCAAAATGTTGATTCCTGTGCCAACAAAGGCGAAAAGAAAGTGTCTTTTTTTAAAAACTTAATGCTGGAAAGAAATCCATTGCTTTTATGCCGTTCCCTTCCTGTGCAATGCCTAAATTTCAGAGTCACGTGGCTCTCCTTTCACCTACTCTAATGCAAGCCCAGGTAGCTGCACTGACCTCAGTGCAGCTTCACCAGAATACCGTGGCTGAGTCCTGTTTGTGGACTAACTTGCCCTGGAAATTGAGAGGGGAGTAAGAGTCATGTGTTTACAGCAAGGAGCAAGAGGAAAACCTGAATCTTTGCAGTGCTGTTTTGCAACTGCGAGTACATCTGTAGCTTTAAATTGTACTGTGTATTTTACTAGCAAAGATCTGAAGAGAGACTTGAGCTGAAGTGATTTTGAAAGCAAGAGAAGGAGGAGGATTACAGTCTTTTGAAGCAAACATGCCCTTGGTAATCATGTTTCTCCTGTTGCAGCAGTAGGATATAATGTCCAATAGAGGGTGTCCAAGTTTAAAAAAAAAAAAACAACTTGCTTATTTTCTCTGTCCTAAGGAAAAGTCCTGGAAAGGAACTTAAGCTGGACAAGCATTTCTGCATTAATAACATGCATTAATAACAATAAATATTTCTCTGGAATTGAGATGGCACATTTGACTGATGTTTCAATATCGGTTTTCAATATTAGTTGTGTCCCCCCCTCGAGGTTTTTTCCCTAAGTGGTTTTCATATTCCAGATAACCTTATGTTTATTCTATGTTTTCATTAGAAATACTTTATTTTAACCTGGTGAGGGATGAGAAAGGCAACAGGAAATGTTTCTGCAGGTATATCAGCAGCAAAAGGAACACTAAGGAAAACGTGGGCCCTCTGCGCTCACTGCAGCAGGGGACCTGCTAACAGAGGACACAGAAGTAGCTGAGGCACTCAGTGCTGCCTTTGTTTTGGCCCTTACTGGTAGGATGTGCCTTCAGGAATTCCAGGTCCCTAAGAGTGGGGAAGTCTGGAGGAAGACGACTTCCCTCAGCAGAGCTGGACCAGGCTAGGGGAACACTTAAACAAACTGGGCTTAGACAATGCCATGGCACTTGAGGGGATGCTCCCATGGATGCCTAGGGAGCTGGCCAACGTCACTGCATGGCCACACTCAATACCCTTTGAAAGGTCATGGGCATCGGGGGAGGTTCCCAAGGACTGGAAGAAAGAAAATGTCACTCCTATGTTCAAGAAGGAGAATGTGGAGCGCTACAAGCTCATTGGCCTCACCTCAGTCCCTGGAAAGGTGATGGAGCAAATAGTCTTGGAAGCCATTTCCAAACACATTAAGGATGAGAAGGTAGGTCAGCATGGATTTACAAAGGGGAGATCATGCTTAATCAGTATGACTGATAGCCTGCTACAGATATCTTGGCAGAGGAGAGAAAAGCTGTGTGTGTTACTTACCTTGACTTTAGTAAGGCTTTTGATACTGCCTTCCATAACATCCTCACAGACAAACTGATGAGGTATGTGCTAGCTAAGTGTGCTGCGAGTGAGCCGCACTGCTGTGCTCAAAGTCCAGCAGCGCACAGTCCAGCTGGAGGTCGGTCCCCAGTGGCCTGTTACTGGGACCAGTACTGTGTAATGTCTTCATTAATGACCTGGACGCTGGGACTGAGCTCACCCTCTGCGGGTTTGCAGATCACACAAAACGGAGAGGAGTGACAGGCAGCCTGGATGGCTGTGCTGCTGTTCAGAGGGATGTCGGCAGGCTGGAGAAATGAGCAGACGGCCATCTCACAACTGTCACCAAAAGGAGATGTGCAGTCCTGCACCTGGGACGGAATAACCGGTACAGGCTGGGAAAGCAGCTCTGCGGAAAAGGACCTGGGAGTTGTCCTGTTGGGCACCTTGCAGCAAGGGTGCCCAGCGGTATCCATGGGCTGCATTAGGAAGAGCCTTGCCAGCAGATCCAGAGGCCGTTTCCCCACCCCCACCCCCCATTCGGCACTGATGAGACCACAGCTGGAGTGCTGTCCTCTGTTCTGGGCTCCCCAGTAGAAGGCAGATGGGGATGTACCAGAGCGAGTCCAGCAAAGGGCCACCAAGACAATTAAGCCATTGGAGCATCTGACTTAAAAGGAGAGGCTGAGAAAGCTGGGCTTGTTCAGCCCTGGGAAGAGAAGATGAAAGGAGAGGCAGTGAAGAGCTGGTCTCTTCTCTGTACAGCTCAGTGCAGTGGAAGGGCAAGAGGCAATAGCCACAAATTTAAATACAGAAATTCCATGTAAATATGGAGGGGGAAAAAAACCCAACATTTTTCCTTTTAGCAATTGCAAGGGTGGTCAAACAGGTGACCAGGTGGCCCAGACAGGTTGAGGAGGCTCCATCGATGGAGAGCACCAGAATTCTGACTGCACATGGCCCTTAGCCACCTGTTTGAGTTGACCTTGCTTTGAGCAGAGCAAGGCTGGACACCATGATCTCCAGCAGATCCTTCCAACCACAACCAATCTGTGATTTTTTTTCTTTTTTTTTAAATTATTTGTGTAAGTATCACTATTTATACCTGCTCAGAACATTTTCTAGCCAAGTTTGGAAATCTTGATACTTGCTTTGTGTAATTGATCTGGGAGTTGGGCGGCGGTTGCTGCACTCCAAACTGCAGGAAAACAGCCCGCTTCCAGCCGTCACTGCTGCATGTCCTTGGCCACAGACTGAAGAAATGACAAGCGGCTCTGAGAGGAGGGAGCTCGGTGAACTTACATGCATGTGACTGGGCTTTTTGTTGTAGATGTGCTCAGTGTGAGCATGTGACCAGCATTGCTTAGGAGGAGTGTGTTGTCTCTTGATTAGTGGGGGGGGGAAGGGGGCTTACGTGCTTTTGCTCTTACCAGCCCAAGAGTTCCCCCCAACCCCCTCCAATATGGAATAAAGGGAGGGAGTAAGTCTGGCTTATGGCACTTCCTGTTTTGCTAAAATAAAGTGGGTTTGGAGACGCAGGATCTTTTTTGGTGCTGGTAACTCCCCACTCTGTAGTGATTTCCTGGTTCAAAAAGCTGAGCATGTTTCTCCAAATGCTACTCTGTGAGAGGATGGTTCATTAGCAGTGATGATGCCAAACTTAATGCATCTTAAAGATTTGTAACATTACACTGCAGGATTGAGTGCTTGTGGAAACAGCATTAACATGGAGAAGGGAAGGACTACTCCCAATGTCACAGGAGGCCACAGGCGATCTTCAGGCTTTGAGGAGTTAAAAGCATGTGATCCAGGATAGTGGCACACAGAGAAATGGGCAGCTGCCGCATTTTTTCTAGGTGCTATCTGCCTGTGACAGTTACATACCCTTCCTTTGCCATAGCGCTAAAACATGAATACAAGCACGGCATGGCCCGAAACCCATTTATGCATTTAAAACCTTGCACCTGAGCCCCATCTCCCTGGCAGGTAATGCCAAGGTCCCTCCCTGAGAAGCTGCTAACAGGAAAGTGTTGCTGTTGTGCATTGGGCTTGCTCTCTACCTTTGTCACTGCGGAGCTCCACTGAAGACTGCGCTCACTGCAGGTGGCTGATGCTACCAAAAAAACCCACGGGAACAAGCACCACAGGTCTCCAGTAAAGCACACTCTCTAAGTCAGGACAGTCGCTCCCTGTTCCAGGGGCTGAATGCTGGGATTCAGCTGCCTTGGCTGTGGCCACTCCTTCAAGGGGCTTACTCCTGCCCCCCTCACCCCCCAACCTGCATTTAGAGGGGGATACAGTTTGGTTTCTCAATTCCCCTGTGCCAGAAATTAGCTAGCTAGCTCACACGCTTTCTGAGGAGTGGCCAACAGCTTGCATTTAATGCATGTAAAGCAAACCCAAGAAGCCATACGCTGCTGTACATAGCCTGTTACGCCTGATGTATACTCAGGAGGCCCAAGTTTTGTCTTCAGAGAATGCCTGACTGTTTTGGAAAGAGGAGCTGCAATGGGTGTGCTCCATCTTACAGCTGTAGTACCCCAGGCAGCAGAACCAGCCTTGAGTAAGTAGTTCAGAGCCTACTCCAGCTTTAGCCAGGCAGGAGACCTAGACATGACATGCAGTAGATTAACAAATAGCTTTCAAAACTTATTTTATTTTCATGCATTTACTGAGACAGGCAGAATCCACATGTGACTTGGCAAAGTGAGGCACCATTCATCATCGTCTCTCAGAAGGGGATCAGAGGATCATCTTTAGTTTTGCCAGTCTGAAAACTGACAAGTTTGGGACCTTGGTCCTCCTGAGGAAGGCTCTGAAACACCTTTAAGTGGAAATACTCGGTCTCGGAAGCTTGGACCTAGAAACAAAAACAGCAGGCAAGTGAGGATCATGGGTTCGAAGCAGGTTCAAACAAAAGGATGCTCTTTACATACTTGGAAGAATATCTCTGCTCAGGAGCTTAATTTTAGGTGTTTCTCTATTTTTTTACTTCAACAGCTCTTAACCCAAGTCTGGATAGTAACTGGTGGCAGAAACTGTCTACACCTGAAGAGAACTGTAACATAAACCTTCAGACGCATGTGAATGGGAAAATGTGTAGGACTGTTTAGGTGTGGAAGCGCCAGAAGGCACAACAGGAGAAGGGTTTTGCTGGCATCCTCTGTAGGACATCAAGATCCCAGCACATCAGCTTACAGCTTCTTGGGACACTCAGAGCAGGAGACAAGAGGCAATGAGTAAATCTTAATGACTCAAGGGTGGAGCAAGATGCAGGGACAGTGTCAGCTCCTAGAAGGTACAGAAAGATCTGTCCAAGACTGGCACATGGTCCCAAGAAGCAATGACAACCTGAAGGCCAGGATCCCTTGTCTCCAGCCTTAGTGCAAACACGAGTGCCTGAACAGACAACTTGACACGTCTTGGTGCTTGTGGGACTGAGTGTGAGTGGCTGAAACAATTTTTAAAATAAACTCACCTTCCCCTCCAGAAAGTCCTCACATAAAGACTTGCTACGAAGTTGTGCATAATTTCGTACATACAGAGCCAAGCATAACAGGTACTCCACTCTCACTGTGTGAGGTGTACAGCACTAAGGGAAAGTTTAATGCCTTAGGGTCAAAGTGGTTTCTACATGCCTTCTGGTGGCTGCAACGTGACACTATGTTTGTCCCGGTCTGGATTACCCCTCAGCTCTAAGTGTGCTGGTAAAATATTAGTGATGTGGAAAATTCAGAAGTATAAAACAGATCTTGTGTCGGAGCTCATTCCAGTTAATGCTAAAATGCGTAGCTGTGCTCTGTCAACTGTTTCCTTGCAAGTTGGGGAAAAAAAAGACAAATCATCTTTTTTCAGCATTATAAATGGATTTCTTCCAAGTTCAGTAAATGTTAGTTTTCATTTCTGCGTAGTTCAGTCATGAGGCCTAGCGTGGACAGCAGACAAGTCTTTTACATTGCCTAGGGTAGCAGTAAGATGGCACTGATGGAAGAAATACAACTGGGCGTGACTGCTGGCTTTCATAGAATCATAGAATCGTTTAGGTTGGAAAAGACCTTTAAGATCACGACGTCCAACCGTTAACCTAACCCTGCCATCCCACCACTAAACCATGTCCCTAAGCACCTCGTCTGCCCGGATTTTAAATACCTCCAGGGATGGCGACTCGACCACTTCCCTGGGCAGCCCGTTCCAGAGCCTGACAACCCTTTCTGTGAAGAAATTTTTCCTAATGTCCAACCTAAACCTGCCCTGTCGCAACTTCAGACCATTTTTACTTTACTGCAGCCTTCCTATAAATTGTTACTCTTCAGCACTCAGTACCTTGACCACAAAGTGAAAGCAGATCTCACAGGAACAAGGGAAGGATAAAGATCATTCATCTAAGTAAGACTCAGACTAGCCGTATAATAGGTAGTCTGTCAGTACAATCCCCTGGTGCCCACAGAGCAGAAATAACTGTTAGGAATTATTTTAAGGAAGGACCTGGGAAAGAAGAAGGTTTGGCAGGGTCTGTCCTTCCTGGGCTCAACGAAGTATGAGAAGTGTGGAGCAAATGCTCATAATATGTCCCTGCAGAATTACTATCCCCCAACCCCTACCTGACAATTTCTTTAATAAAAAGATTCTGACCCTTGTCAAGGGAGCATATCCTACCAGCCATACATAGCCTGCATACATACGGGGTTAAGATACAGCAGTCACATGCAATGTTTGCTCTACTTCCAGAAAGCCAGCCTGCCACTAAGCAATGCTTTCTGGCCTTCACTTGCAAAATATGCTCAGCAATTTGTATGCGTCACTTCACAGAAAGCTGCGCAAACCCACGGGTAAGGTTTTCTAGAGGATGAATGGTGCCATCAGAGGGCTCCAAATTAAGCATTACTCGTTTTTCCTCTGCAACAGAAAGGGTGTTTTGAAAATCTAGTAAGAACTAGCAGGCAGGCTGTACTTCTGCAGCACATGACACAGAACCAAAACATCAACACACATGCTTGCATGCAAAACTAGTCAGCAGAGTATGACACGCTTGCATAAATTTATTTTAGAATTAAATTCACTCTAACTCTCCATCAGATCCTCAGGCTGACTTCAAATTCATCATAATAAACACAATTGGAGGACATGGAGGCAATAGGAAAGCTACTTTGCCTTGAAAGGAAACAGGAGAGCAGAGTTATGATTAGTTTTTAAATAATTTGAGCTGATAAGGCAATCTGTGGTCTTTGAGTGAGAGGATCCTAAGAAAGTTCATCATTGACATCTGAAGAAGCACGTTCTATAAGTTTTTATATTCCTGTTCCACTGTAGTGCCACACAGAGGAATTTTATAAGCATCTGGAGATGGTCCCTAATTCTGTTAATCACATCAGATGGTTTTCTGCTACATTTACTTCTCTTTCTTGCTACAAGACTCTATGCAAGTCACCTATATTGTTTAACTACAGAGCACTCCCTCCTATAATATATACAAACCTTAATAATGTAGTTTGTCCCAGAAACCACCTGACTCCTATATGATATGGCTTTAAACATGGAAAATGTCATGTTTGTCCTTTCTTGAAAGTCTTGCTTCACCTGTAAAAGAAAGGGAGAAAAGGTTGGCAGGTTCACATGTAGGCTCTTCTTTCACATCTACCACGCCAATTTTCATCCTTTCAAACACACACCCTTAATGAAATAAACCCAGAACCCCCAAAATAATTCAACTTACACCAAGATGTCCAGCCCTCTTTCCTAGCATTGCCTCCAGCATTCTTTAAAATCCTGTTACAATTAGACTTCCTAGTTGATTTCCTCCCGCCCCAAAAGCTGTCCAGCTAAACTGTCTCCTGCTCAGTATAGGGGAACTGCTTCCTACTGCCCTTTTAATTCCTTGGCAAAGTAGCTAGGTACCAAGCCGGGCTCCCTAGCAGGGTGCACCCCGTGTCAACCACACCAGTCAGCCCCCCTCGCCTGCAACACCTGTACCCAAGCCAGTCAGCCTGGGAGGCTGTGGACCTCCGTTGTGTTTTGCAGCCTCAGAGCTGCACTCAATCTGTTTAATGTTTTTCTTAAAGGACTTGCAATAAACAGGGTTATTTCAGAGTATCGAGACAACCACCTGATCAAGTAGTTCCTGAACAACAAGCGATTCTAGTGCTCGTGGAAGCCCTGAAGCTAAAGCTGTAGGTTTAACTAACTACACCCTTCAACATCTAGAACCATTTAACATACAAACTGTAACAGTTAACAATGGTCGAGGACTAAACTATGTACTTCCATCTCCAAAACTGGAAGTACAACCTTTAAATCATAGCCAACAATCAACCTCAGACCTGCACGAATATAATCAGTCCTTCCTAGGTAGTAGCTGTAGTCAATGTAACTCCAGAAGAAACAACGCTCTGTGCTGACAGCATTCACACTCACGGCTCAGATAGATCTGTTTAAGCCCCGTGGATCTTAAAATATGCAGTTCAGAAACCTACAGACTTTTCACATATATATTAAAAAAAAAAAATTTTAAAAAAAGGTGCAACAGTTTTTCCTGAAACACCCAAACTGTAAGGCAAGTTTAAGTTCAGCAGCAATTACAGTGGTACTATCCTCTTAGAGATGAAATACTGTATAACTACTAGGCTGAAAGGGCAGGGGAGCAGCAGGGAGCAGCGGTGGAAGTCTGGCCAGGTGTCTGAGGCATCATGATTTATGCAGCAGTGTAATAGTGTTTTACTATAGTCATTTGCATCTGATGATGCCAATTCCCTATAGAAAGGCAGCTGCAGCAAACGTAACCCGAAAACTTATTTCTATCATCTGGAAAGCATCAACAACCTTCTGCAGGCCGGGTGACAGCCTCTCCTCTGCACATGGCGCCCTTGCCAACGGCTGGACACAGGGCAGAGGCATTCCAGAAGTCAGGCAGAGGAGCGCAGCGTCACTCGCAGCCTGCTCAGGCAGCCCCGGGAGGGGCCGGCAGCGTGTCAGCACTTCTCACCACCCACCTGTTTTGCAGAAACGCACAGAATTAATTGGCTTTCTCAGCAGATTGCCTACAGCTGCCTACCACTCCCATGACACTCCTTCCTATTCAGGCTCCTCATAATCTCTTACTCTGCTCTTCTTCCGAGTAGCTTCCATGGGGCTTCTATCCCCCGGAACCAACAGCTCTGCTTTCAACTCAGGAGCTGCTAACTCTAGCAAACTAGGGAAACTTCAGTTTCCAACCCTCTTCTAGCTGGATGGGTTTGAGGGTTCCTAGGATGCTCCTAAGTGGCAGCTTTTGGTACATATTATTCCTCTCTCAGAACAAAACAAAGCCAGTTCTTTCCAGTTTTATGATCTTTCCCAACCTCTGACTGCTATGTCCCCCATTTGTTATTTATGGACAGAGTCTTCAGTAAAATCAGGCAGGCAGACAGCTCCTTAATCCTCAGATGGAAAAATGTAACATTCCCAAACTCTTATCTAACAGTTCCTTAAATGCAAAACATTCCTCAGTTTTAGGTAACAGCTGTCAAACAAGGAGACTAAATAAATAACATTCCCCAGCTCACTAAGGATGACTACAGACAAGGCACCGGTGTAAGTAAATAATGATGTAATCCCAAGAGCAGACAGACCTTGGCCATCCTAACGTCTGCAGATGCTCTTCAGACCTTCCCTTAGCAGGGCTTGAAATCCCACAGAACTGCATCATTAAAGGGTGACACTGTTATCTGCTGGAAGCAGAGCAGGATTGCCCCAATGTAAGGTTTGTCTCCACAAGAATATTTTCCTTAGAGAACTATACCAAAGCCTCTGCAGTGGAGTGTGAGCTTTTTCAAAGGAAAAGGACCACGAGAGTTCTCTCTCCCGTGCACAGCACATGGCAAAAATTTCATCTTGCAGAAAATAAAAAGTTAACAAATAATTTGTTTTCATTTTCCTGAAGTTACTGAGAATGGAAGAATACCAAAATGAAGATCAGTCCTCATTAGGAATCAAACAGAAAATCTGTGCATCTGCATTTCAGATTACGTATTTGCCCTGTACTTTGTGAGCATTAGCACAGCCTGAAATGAACATTCACATTTTTAAGTGCATGTTTGCTCACTGACAGTTAAGCACTGTAGTTTCATCTCTGATACATGCTGCAATAGAGTAGGATCTTTTGATCATCCATAGCACAGCCTAGCGTTAAAAACATCGCTCGGTATCTGGCATGCTGCACTGTCCTAGCAGTGTGCAAACCGTGCCCTTAGGATATTTCGCAGACTCATTAGTCAAATTTCACAGCCCCCAGCTAGCAGGAGACATTGCCCTCCCTATCTTACACATGAAATAAGAATTGCAAATATACAAAGGTGCCACAAGTCCTTGCCTAGGGTCTCCCCTCCACAGGTAAAAGGGAATTTCTGATCTCTGCAAGCGCTGCTCCTTCAACTTCTTGTGCCAGCATAGGATGAAGTGATACTGCACCCGAGCGATTCAATTGGTATCCTCCAAACAATTTTAGATAATCCTTTTCTCTTTCTGTTCTCCAGTAAATTTTCTCTCCTCTGAAAACCTGTTATCACCACCCCCCAACACATACTCCAGCCCTCCCCCATGCCCAACGCTGGCAACCCCAGCTGTGACTGACCAATGAAGCCCTACAGCAGAAGATGGCTCCGAGGAGCTGGGCAAGGGCAATATGCCTATGAAACTCAGAAAATAATGCAAAGTGTGACTGACCACAGCTTTTTTTTAGTGCATACTACCACATGGTTTGTCCTATCCATGTCCTTCAGTGAGGAATTAATTCTACCAGGTACAATCTTCTCCTTTCAAATACCCCACCTTTAATTTCAGATAAGCAGCCTTAGTGCTGGCATAGTAGAGCTAGTCTTTGGCCTACATGCAAACATGAACTGAACGCAGCCAGTGCTATGGCTGGCTACGGAGAAGAATGACACAGAGAAGTGGTTTGTCTCAGTCTTACCGGTATGCTGCCTACATAGACTGCTGAGAAAATACTTACTGGCAATCAAGGGGATTCCCATTTTCAGCACTACCTTCTTCAGTTCAAACACTGGTTCAGTATCACCACCTGGTCTCCCAGCTTTTGCATAAGCTTCAAGACTTTGCACACAGAGACTTCACCTTTAGATAGGTTGCAACTCACCTCATCAACAATATGCTGGACTTCTGGAGTAGCAGGCCGGGTCTCAGAAAAGCCCCCAGTAATCACCGGGGCAGGTAAGTTCTCTGACATGATGACTGGTTATGAAGAAGCAAGTTCAGCGCAGTCTGAGCAGAGTCGCCAGGCACCTTATATATATACATATACATGTGTCATGGAATCATATGACTTGTACCATATGGAGCAGATGACTAGTCTGTGCACTTAAGAAATGGATCAAAGTCACACCCAGTATTTCCCAACACCATCCAAGATCAGAAGAAAGCATGCAGTAATTTCCTTGACGGAGGTCCCGTTCAACTTGAAACTGTTTTCTCTCAATATCCTTCCAAGTGGGAAACAGAAGCAGATTGCATTTTACTTTCAGTGACTTTATTTCCCTCGGCCTGACCAGAAAGGTGCCAAGCTAAACACCAGAAACAGAAGGGGGAAAAAATTAAATTCTAGGTTCAGGGAAGTACTGCAACTAAGTTATTTCTGATTCTTTCCTATTAAACCTACAGCTCCAGTCAGGCAATCATAATAACTCCTCAATATGCAGTAGTCTTTATGTTTTTAGTGAAACCCTAGTGCCAATTCCCTGGAAGACAAAGTGCGACCCCTTTCACTACAGTAGTTGTGTGTGCACAACAGCTGTTCTAATTTCAAGATACAGACGTCCCACACACTGCTGGAATACCTAACACGCAGAATATACAGTCAGAAGTATTCGTTCTGCAGTTACACATGACACAGCCACATGCATGACTATATAGGAACATGCAAAGCCCAAAACACACGCAGCCCGCTGAGGAAAGGCTAGCGACTGTTAGCAGCCCCACCTGGTAAGGGAGAGCTAACACTTCAAGGTCACAGAAAAACTACTTCCCTCCAGCATTCCTGACATGGGACGGGGTGAAATGAGAGCATGTGCTGCACACGGGCAATGGGCATCTCTGCTAGAAACAAGCCTGCTCATGGCCACAGCAATGGTGACTGCGTAGCACAGACTTATCGGTGTCCTCACCAGCCCACTGACCCTCTGTGGGAGACCAACTGGAAGAACAGAAAATCTAACACCAAGGCCAACTTGTAACCCCCTGGAACAAAGAACTGTTTGATCAGAAGGGTGTGAGCAAGGGCAAGAGATGAAGCTCAGATAATGGAACAGGGTGTGGAGATGCCATAAGCCTTACTGAGGAACGGCCAGAGACAAAACTCAGGTTAAGGGGACAGGGGCATCGAGATTACCTGAGCCTTGCCAAGGAATGCCTCAAACACTTGCAAGACGCAAAGAAAGACCCTGAAGCAAAATCCTCTCAGCTCAGCCCTGAAACGCAACTGCCACCGTGGCAGAGCGGCAGTCCACAGGAGAGCAGACATAAAACGGGGAGGGCAAGTGCCATTGGGTGGGATTTCTGGACAAGCACTCCTACAGACCAGAGACCCCCGTTGGCTGGACCAACGCTGAAACCCGGACCATTGACCTCTCTCCCCCCCACCTCCTCTCCATCCGTCTCTTTACTCTCTTACTTTTTTTTGACTGTAGTAATCAACGTAAGGCATACAAGCACTAAGCATTTCTGCTACCCAATTATTTACCAATGAGCCTAGCTGTGGAATAAAAGTCTGTCCTTACCCACGGACTTTGGGTGTTGCGTATATCCTATTCCAACCAAGAGAATCAGCAAATCTGAATTACTTCTCCCTCCTTCTCTGGCGGGATGCAACACCCACCTCACAGATGATGGGTGATGCAACAGATGGCAAACAAGTACTTCATATCTAACTTCTACTTCATATCTAACTTCAAGGCCTGTTCTTGGGACAAAGGACCTGAGATTGAGAAACTGGGGCTCTAAGGGCCCTAAACGCAGCGGTAGATCGATCAAGGTAAGAGCATGTTACCGACAAGGATGTTGCCGAATTTCCCAGACTTGAGCGGCAGTGTTATGGGAGTGGGTGAAAGGCGGGAGTGGAGGAAAGGGAATGGGAGGAGTTAAAGCTGGAAGCCTACCATTTTCTCCAAATTCACCACTCCAGATGAGGACTTCCTCACAGCCCAATTCGTGGAGGTAACGACAATTCAAGCTGATGAACTCAAACTCCTTCTTTTGCACAAGACCCTGCTGATTCTCTCAACCGCTGTCACCTTCCACCAAGCCGTTGCCAGGCATCTTATTTGCACAGCAGGACAGATGAGCTAACTAACTGGAAGAGCCAGCTCACCTTACCGAGGAGGCCAGAAGCCACACAATGCGTCCAACAACCATGCAGCACCAGTGCTAAACCAGGACATTTTATAAACTCCACTCACCATGATGCAGATCTCACTAACTTCCCTTGGGAAGAGATGTTGATAAGGTCCCCAAGGCAGCACCACCCCTCTGGAGAACCCCTGATTCTGGTTCCTAAGAAATACAGGCGTTAATGTTGTGTGGAAAACACTCATTGGACTCCCTATATTCTGGGTTTGCTGGTCTTTGACTTTAAAGCGTAAGAATGGTTTGGGGTTTTTTCCCCCAGAAGGCACGGAGTTGTGCAGAAGGGGAGGAAAATCAACACTAATTGTCAGGAAGCTGACGCTAAAGTTGACACAGGCCAATCAGTCTGGGTGGTTTTTTGTGGGAGTTGTAAGGGCGTCCCAAAATCCAGTGCTATTTCTCAGATTGGGATGCAGTACTCATCCTGCACACATAGTTGATGAAGTTGCTTTGAAACGCTGATGTTTCACAGACCTGATGTCAAAGATGATCGCCGGCAACGGACTACCCTAGGCAACCCTCACCTGCACCTCCCTCTGTTAAGCTTTGGATGTAATGAAACGGCATTTGGAACGTTGCCTTGAAAAGAACAGCCGTCCCCATTGCATCTCTCGCACAACATCAACAACCTAGTGAGTGTCACCCCTTTAGCACTGGAGACATGTTTGATACCATATACCATTCCTGCCTACACTCACCATTTGCACAGACAGCAATTTCTCTTCACGTAACTGTACTGCTGTTACCTTGGAGAATCTGTGCTGGGAGAACGGCACTACTGCTCTTCATAGTTTTAAAGCTGAGTAACATCTTGAACTAGTTTTAAAGCTGAGTCACACTTGCACACTTGCAGGACAAAGTTATCATATCCCTGCCTAGGCTGAGCCTATGGTACCAGTAAAGAGCCTCTTCCCCTCAGCCTGCTTCAAGACAACCAAATTCTATCCTTAAAAAAACTTCTGTAGAGCGATTACCTATTTCATACATCTTGAGTGTGTACAGGCTGCAGAAGACAACAGCAATGAGTGTCAGAAAAAACCCCACCTCTTTCTATTCCACGGAAGGAAGAAGGAAGAAGGAAGCACACACTTGAGAGAGCTTTCCAAGGAACCGGGAGCTGCCCAGCTATATTCACCATTTCCAAATAAGAGGAAAGTCCCAGCAGAGGGGGAAACTGCCTGCAGGAGATCGAGACACTGGGCAGGGGCATCAGTTGTGCTTTCTCTTCAAGTGTCTTTACTCGCAGAAATAGAGTTAGAACCAGGAAAAGGATGAAATCCTGGTATTTGTGGCGTCCACTGTATGATTCACGTGTGACATCAAGCCGCTCAGTAATTCTGTAGACCACCTTGACGGTAAAGTTGAAGCAGGATTCAACTGCAGACTAGGCGTGATCCTATAACGCACCGGGGTCACTAGAGACAGAGATTTTACCTGCCTTGGCCCACAGCTCATACCAATGCCATTTACATACCATCACAAAACATCTCACTTCAGAGGCAGGTCTTAAGTACTCAAAAAATAGCAAAGCCTTTTTCTCCTTCCCTGTGCCCCAAAGCATGGCAGGCAATTCCAGTTACTCACCTTAATGTTCCACTAACTTCAACGGCACGATTCAAACATCCTGCAATCCACGTGATTTGCCACGTACTGTAAGAGCCCTCTCTGCTCAAAGCAAGCTAAAGAGAGTAATTCAACTTCTTAGTGCAACCCTCTGTATACAAGCGGCAAACACCTGAAGAAGGGATGTTTGGGACTCAGAAGTCTTCTTGTGATGTCAGGAGTTTTTCCTATGCAGGTTTGTATAGATCTACTTGTTTGGCCTTATATTCAAATGAGAACTCTGAACCAATGCTGCTACGTGTCAAGTAGTTCAGAACAATGCTGGTAGCTCTTACTTTCAGGGATGCTGAACCTACACTTGCTAATCATTGTGCAGTTTTTATTTCCTTTCAGGTTTTAGTAGATTATTCACACAAACACACCATGTTCACTCATAGTTTGCCAAGCACCAATTCACGGAGAGCCCTGTCCTCCCTGCTCAGAACTGGTTTTTACTATTTCTTCCCCTCTAAGACTGCTGAAGCTGCAAGAGTTCAAGAAAGATGCCAGTTTCGCATTCCATTTGAAAATTATTTTAATACTATAAAACTCATTTGTTCACATATTTTGTACAAAAGATGAATTGTTTTCTCTTAATTACAGGAGAATCATTTCAACCTTGAGATTTCAGCTAAGTAGGTCCAAAACAAAACAAGACTGGGTTCTACTGGTTCTGGAGGGTCCCAATGCAGCTCACCCAAGGTCTCTTTCCAGTTTGGCTCTCATGGTTATGGACCACCTTGATGGAAGATACCCCACATCATTGACTCTTCGGAGGCTTGTAGTGAATTCGGCAACGCTCATTAAATACCTGAGACACCAAAACAGAAGAGCAAAAGCTAAATTAGTCCTCATCCAGATGATGAGAACTTCAGAGCTAGTTCAGACAACTATCTCTTCACATAGCACCCATCTCAAGCTGCCCAGCCCTGCTGTACCAATAAATGGTACTTACCAAGGCATCTGTCTCCATTCACCTTCTCTCCTGGCTTTAGGGAATCCAAAGTTTGCAGCCTGATGCTGCGGGACTGCACAGCACTAAAAGTGTTCTCCCTCAGAAAAGGCAGGCTTATAATCCTGGTAGTCTGTTATCCTCAAAGATGATGATGCCCTTTTTTTTTTTTTTTTAAAGAAAGAGGTAAATTATCAGAGGAAGGCTCCTGACTAGCTGCGTTCTGTTCAGTTCAATCTGGCATTCAGATTTGGACACTGTATTTTCTCTTTCCTTAGCAAATGCGTTTTGCATTGTTGTGACAACTAAAAGGAGGTGCAAGGGCTCTTGGAAGCCACATTCACACTTTCAGTTATCTGACCACAGGTGCTGATGCTGCCAGCCCTCCTATTGCAAAGGGCATACTGCTCTTGCCTCACTCACCTCTGGCACCCTCTCTGGGTAAAATTTAGCACACAGAACCAGAGACTGAAGATCATGTTCATTTAGTTTGAACCGCAGGCCTTGTCAAGTAGACTGCTTACCCTAAGGAAGGCCAATAAATGTGACTATTTAAAGTAAGGCAGTCTGAATCAAAAGTTCACACCAAAGTTACAGGTTCTCTTTACAAGCAATTT